TATAATGTATGTGTATAAAATATACACACACACACACACACACACACACACACACATTTGTATATAATATATATAAAAATATATATGTATATAAAATATATTTATGTGTGTGTGTGTGTGTGTGTGTGTGTGTGTGTATGACATGTACAAGCAAGAGAATGTATAAAAAGAGGAACAGACTTCTGCTTCCCACGAAGATGGAGTAACAGTGAACAGATTTATCCTCCAACTTTAAGCAACAACAACAAAAAAGGCCAAATTATATTAAACAAGAATTTTCAGACACTAGACAATAAGCAGTATAGGACAATGATCCCCAAGAAAGAGAAATAAATGAGGTGAGTCTATAACTGCCCCATCTTACTGGCTAGAGAGTTTCTAGGCAGCAGCAGAGAGGGGAAACTCAGAATCTGGTCTTCCTGAGTCAAAGGAACAGAGCTGAGAATCAGAAATGCCAAAGCAGCTAGAATTCACAGGGTAGAGAACTGGAAAGGAAAGAGCTGCCTGCAAAGAGAGCCCTGGAGATGTGCAGGGTTAAGACAATGGAGGTCATTGAGTGGTAGCAGAAAGACAGCACTCATTTGAGAAGTACTCAGCAAAATAGAGAAAGAAAGTTGATGGAAGAGAGAAGTTTCACTCATGAGTTATATGCCTCCTTTCTTGTCAACCACAGACAACATAAATAGACTTATGTTTTACTGACATGATAACCAAAGACACTGCATTTAACTACTGTATCATTAAATTTTTTTCCCATGACCAGAACATTATGACACTTAAAAGAAAATATTCCTGAGAACCTGAACCACCCTTTCGAAGTTCAATACCTAAGTAATGGCTGATGGGGGAGGATGCTCTGGTAACAACTCTGTTGAGGACTTGCTCCAGAATTTCTTGTCTGATCATTTCATGGATCTAAAAAGAACAGAAGAACCAGTAAAATATTCTTTGGTGACTTTCAGCTTACAATTGCATCGAGGTATATTGGGTAGAATGAAGAACAGTTTAGATATGGTAAAAATTGACTGTTAATTTCAAACACGAATATAATGTGAATCACTGGTTAAGACATGTTCACTTAACCCTACCCTCATTCTGTGCTCAGACAATCATTAGCAGGGCAAACCACCATGTTTATTAGCCTAAAAGAGAGAGCACATGAAAGCACTCCTATATAAGGTCCAGCATCAAACAGGAATACTTCTACTTAGATATCCATTACATGCCAATATCTACATTTCTGATGTATTCATAATATTTATTTTAAAACTTAAAAGCCTATGAAAATTTCTGAAATTGAAAATCATCTTCATGAACCCCTTCCTCAGTTTATAGAAGCACAGTGGCTGCCGCCAAAAAAGATGTTTTGAATTTTCATTTAAATTTTAGTTAAAATCCTTATCTGAACTTGATTACTTTGAGTTACAAACTAATTTCTTTCAGACTTCAGACTAATAATTAATTAGCAGTAAATTATATGCTCTACAGATGCCTTGACAAAGCAATCATCTGTGTGAAATCCAATGGAACCTCCCTAGTTTTAAAAATGATTAAAAACAAAAACTATGAAAGGCTCTTATTCTAAGAATGTTTTTAATCGGATTACTGTTAAGAGGAGTCATTTATATCATCTAACACACTTACAACTATTAAGGGCTATTATATGGCACTCACTTCATAGTTCTGGATCAGAACACTAGATTTACATTTAAATTAGCCTCCAAATAGCATTTTCAGCCTATACTTTGGCATGTAGCTACATTAAACAATCGAATGTCAAGAAGATGACTGAGAGAAATCCCTAGCAAAGCAATGTTTAGCCTCAGATATGATCTAGCTTTCCTTTTTTACTTGAAATGAATTTCTGAAAGCTGTTTCAGAAATTAACATCGAGATGATGGTCATAATATGGTAATGAATAAAAAAATGTAAATTACCCATTTTGGGTTCTTCAAAAACAATGAACCAATAAGTATGATTGTTCGAGCCTGATATTCTACAGCAATGTAAAAGATTATTTTCTGTGTAAAGAAATAGCATTTAAAAAAATTATTTACTGTTGAAAGGAAAAAAGAAAATCATGGGAAAGCTAACATATTCAAACTTCTATGAAACGGTATGAAATAGAAAACAGAATAAAAAACTCATATAAATAAAGGATGATAAAGTAAGTATTCCATCAAACTGGAACATTAGCAATGTTTCAATTTCTATCCCAATTTCTATTCCCAGAACTCAAATTTCCTTGTCCCCCAAACTCCCAGGCAAATATCATACCCTATTTATAATACAATTTAATAAAATTAGGAAATAGATGCTAAACTAGTGTCTCACCTTAAAAGTTTCCAACAGGATATTAGCTCCCAGCGTACATGCATGTTGCTTTGGTGTTTTAGAAAGACCTAAGCTGGTTTCAATAGGTTCATCAAGAATCTTCTTTGGCCCATATGAATCCATTAAAATGAAGCCAAGCTCTACTAGGCCCTGAGTAACATGATCCCAGCTATGAACACTGCATGAAAACAAAGCTTTGTTAAAAAGAAAAGCTTAGTAAAATATCTTTATCTTCATAAGGTATGTGTTACACATTTCCCAAACCTGATCTGGTAACTGACACTCTTCACATGAACCTTTTCATGCACCCTTCTGGTATAGAGCATCTTCCTCTGCCTTCTCCAAGACCCACTATACCCCTGAGAAGTGAGCAACAGTGAGGCTTGCCTGCTCTTAGATGAGATCTGAGAGTGGAGGAACTTGGGCCTGAGAGGCAGAGTAGCACTCTGAGAGGATGGTAACATACTGGAGGATTAGGGAGGCCCCTAGAAGATGACCTCTGGGTACATCCTACTACTATCCTCAAATCACAGAGGTAGACAGTGTTAAGTAGATAACGGCGCTCTCAAACTAATGGGGAACATCAAAAATAACAACAAGGAGACAATCAGTAATCACCAAATAGAAGAAAAAAATACTGCCTTAAAAGAGAAGCACCAAACTCAATATTAAATTAAATATGAAATACTGCCTTAAAAAGAGAAGCAACAAACTCAAATACTGCCTTAAAAGAGAAGCACCAAACTCAATAATTTAATACCTGAAGGAAAAGGTTAATGGAACAAACAGGAGATTTTAAAAGTCTAATGAATATCCTCAGACTATTATAAAAAAAAAAAATGGAAATCTTGGAAATGAAAAACATGACTGATGGAGTGAAAAACTCAATAAATGAACCTAAGAGTAAAATGGACAGAGCTGAAGAACAAATTAATCTGAAGAAAGAGCTAAGGGATTTGTGTAGAACTTCACATAAAAATACAAAAATATGAAAGGCATAAAAGAAAAATTAAGATAGCACACAGAGATCAAGAAATTCCAACAGGGATAGAACAGAGAGAAAAAGAGGCAGGATTACTCAAAGAAAATAAAAGGAGAAAAACATTACAGAGTTTAGTAAAGGCACGAATTCTTACAGTGAAAGGGCATACTAAGTATCAAGCAGGAGTGAATTAAAAAGGAACTTACATAAACATAAAATATGTTAAATTTCAGAACACCAAGGATGAAAATAGTTAAAAGTTCCTATGAAGAAAATAACAGATTGTCTACAATAATTCTAAAAAATCAGATAATCACCAGACTTTTCATCAGTAGTCCTAGATGCAAAAAGACAATGAAAAATGATTATAAACCTAGAATTTTATACTCGGTCAACTATTGTTCAGGTGGGATGGCAAAATAAAGACATTTTCAGATATGAAGACTCAGAAATCATACCAAAAAAGATGACTGGAAAAATTATATACTTATGCCATATTTCTAAGAGAAAAATATGAAGTTCAAAAGATAGAAGTAAACAAAGAAATCAGTAACATTTATTACAAAGTCTAAATAAGTGTTGTTTAATGTAAAGTCCTATATTTACTATAGTAGAACTTTTATGTTAAGACTAGATATTGGATGTTAACTGAACTTACTGTGGAGATCATTTTGCAATATATACAAATATCGAATCATTAACTTATCTACCTGAGGCTAATGTTACATGTCAACTAAACCTCAATCGAAAAATTTATGTCTGTCTGTCCGTCCATCCATCTATCCATCCATTTATCTATCTATCTTAGTGCTCTGGTTACAAAGTTGAATATGTTTTAAGTCTGCTAAATCCTGTTTTCCCCAAAGGCCCTGTTATTTTTACAGTGTTATATTGCAGAACAAAACATTTTTCAGGAATATATCATATTACAGCATAAATGCATTAATTAACTCTACTAATTATTCTACTAATTAATTCTAGACACTAACAGGCAAATCTAAATCTAAACACAATAAAATACTACCAAGATCCGATTGGTAAGGTCCAAAGATTCAATCACATAAAATGTAGGATGCATTATTTAGAGGAAAATTGACTAACCAAGGCAATCATGTGTAACAAACCAGCTGGCTATTCTATGAGGTCTGCTAATGTTACCCAAATCTCTCCTACTGAGAGCTGGTCCTAAACTAGTGACAACTGCCCATTCAGCCTAATTATAAATGGAGAGGCTTCCAGGTCCTATGGCTAAGTGGGACTTGTAGAAGAAGGGCTACGTTCCAGGAATTTCCTGGTTAATTAGTGCCCTGTTTCTTTAGCCCAATCAGAAGAGACTGGGTTGGCAGAATACTAGAGATACAACTATAAACCTTAGGAAAAAGAGGAATAACAAGATACAGAGAGGACAGAGGAGCTTTAAAGCCTATGATGGATAAACCACTCAGAAACAACAGGTTCTAGACTCACATTTGTCTTATGTGCCAACCTCATGTAAATCCAATCTAAATCAGAATTCCCAGTCATGGAATAAGATCTGGCTTAAATTATAAAGCTTTAAAATATACTTAATCCAGACAAAGAAAGTATGTCATGGTCGAGATTGTTCTAACAGCTAGTGTATACCCTGAAATCAAAATAACACCTGGGAAGGTTACGAGTCTTGTTTCAATTTGGTTTAAAATGAATGTCTAAAACTGCTAATCAATTATCTAAAACTGCTAATTCAATTCCAACCATCAGGCTCAAATTTCAACAGTAAAAGTAAATAAAACTTTCGATGTCTACTCACCTAAAGTGACAAAGAGTTGCAGTATCATGAAGGAACGAAGGTATGACTTCAATTTTGCATTATTGCTATTAAGGTGGCCAAGAAATGAGGCCTTGGGATTTGAGGAACTTTTGATAAGGAAAAGCTTGCTTGACCAATTTTAAGGGATTAAACCTTGATAGATGAAATCAACAGCTGTAGTCACGTTTTCCCAGATGGGTCATAAGTATGGTACCACAAAGGAACTTACCGGGCTATGGTTCACAAACTCACCTATTCTGTACCACTTCCAAGATCATGGCTGAAACACAAGATCTATGAGGGACTAGATTCTGAAGAAATTTTGAGCCTTGGAGAAGCTGAAGATCCTTAAAGTTTTTTATAACTGAAGTCCTTAAAAGGTCAAATACCTAATATAATGAGAGAAATAGGAAAAGGGAGTCAAAAACGATATCCCATGCTATAGAATCTTAACACCGTAACTGTTCTTACTTGCTATCACACACTCATACCTATGACTGTTTCACTAGATGAGTATGATATAAAAATTAACACTTTCAATGGGAACTTTAAAAAGTTAAATACAGGCCTTCCTGAAGAAAGAAAATGAGCTAAAATCAATACTAGTTATTACCCATGACTAGGGAACACATATGAGAAAAAAAGCCAAAGGATTTTACCATTTTATTCTCGCAACTAACCTATTCCTATTAATGTCAACTTGATCAGGGATAATTTCTTGGAAAGGTACAAAATAATAAAATTGCTGGTGAATACCTAGCTAAACTTCCCATTCTTGCTACTTGGACTGTATGATATGTTTCCATTCTTTTTCCCACTTCATCACCTGGCTTACCACACAATAGGAAATGGAAGTAATAAACCAAGTGCCAGAAGTCTTCGAGCGGCCCCCCAGAGAGCAGTGTGGGAACTACATGTCTTACAGAGGAATTTGCTGCGGGAGGGATTAGGGTGGAATTGTTTAGGAAAAGATAATTAAAAAAAACAGGCTCTTGTACTCCTTACCAGCTACAGAAAGGACCAAAAACATCACCAATACCTGTTCCTCAAATCTTTGTATTCTCGTGAGAGAAAGCAGGAGGGCAATGCTGAAGGGACATATATTATTACTGAAATCTCCTTGCTGTCCTGCCTAGAAGAGATAAACAAAAAAGGAGTCATTACTTATATCTTAAAAGTATAACATAAGCCTACTTAAAAAAAGGTATTTACATGAACCAGAAATCTATACGCCAGAACTAAATCTAAAAAACTTTTAAAAAACATAGCAGAAAATCTTTAAGACCTTGGATTACACAAAGATTTCTTAAATACAATACAAAAAGCATAATTTATATAAGAAAATTGATAAAATGGATGCCATCAAAATTCAAAACTTTGTGCTTCAAAAGACACTTGAAATGAAAATGAAAAAACAAGACACAGACTAAGAAAATATACTTGCTAATTATGTAAATGATACAGAACTTGTACCTAGGATATACTAAGAATTCTTAAAACTCAATAATACGACATACAATCAAAAAATGGGCAAAAGATTAAAACAGGCATTTCACTAAAGAAGATATTAGAACAGCTAATAAGCACATGAAAAGAGGCTCAATTATCATCAGTCATTAAGGAATTGCCATTAGAACAAGTATTGTAAAAAAAGACAGACAATAACAAATGTTGGCCAAGATGTGGAAAACAAGAACCCTCATACAGTGCTGGTAAGAATGTAAAATGATATAGCCATGTTAAAGAACAGTTGGTAATTTCTTAAAAATGTAAACACAAATTTATTATACAACCCAGAAATTCCACTCGTAGGGAATCTATCCGAGAAATGAAAACATATGTCTACAAAAAGAACTGCAAGTGAATATTCAGAACAGCATTATTCCTAATAGCCAAAAAGTGGAAACAACTCTAATATCCATTGAGTGAATAAAACAAGTTGATATAACCATACAATGGAATACTATGCAATAATTAAGAAGTAATGAAAAACTGATATATGCTACAACATGAATGAACCTTGAAAACATTATGCTAAACGAAAGCCAGACACGAAAGGCCATATATTGTACGATTACATTCATATGACATACTTAGGAAAGGTAAATATATAGAATAAAAAGATTAGTGGTTGCCTGGGTCTGGGAATGTGGATTAACTCTAAACAGGCATGGGGAATTTTATAGGGTGAGAAAAATGTTCTAAAACTGGATTATAGAGATGGTTACACAAGTAGGTAAAATTATGAAAACACTTAATATGGGTGAATTTTTGTGTTTGCTTCGGCAGCACATATACTAAAATTGGAATGATACAGAGAAGATTAGCATGGCCCCTGAACAAGGATGACACGCAAATTCATGAAGTGCTCCATATTTTTGTGACAGAAAGACATCTAACTATGAGAGGTAAACATACAGTGCAATATATATATGACTTACTGTTGAATAGTACACTTGAATCTTACTGGATTTTGTTAACCAATGTCACCATAATAAAAAATAAATTTTTAAAAAATGAGTGTGAATATTCAGAACAGCAAAATTTTATGTTACGTAAATTATACCTCAATCATCTTTAAAAAATAGGCCTTTGAGGCCTAAAAGAAATGATATCCAAGAAATAACAGAGAAGGGAATAAATATAAAATCACAAATAAATAAAACAGAAAACCAATAAAAATAAAACAGTGGAGTAGATAAAAAAATAGAAAGTTGGTTCTTTGAAAAGACCAATCATACAGTTACTATAAACCTAAAAAAAAGAAGAGTGAACAGATACAGGTGCTTTAAAGTCTATCTCCCACATCATGGTCTTTAAATATCCTTTCCTACAAAAGGAACCCAGAGCACCTTAAAGAAACAGCTGGAATGGGGATGGGGCAAAGAAAGTACAAGGTCAGCCCTGCACAGCTGAAGCCAGGAAAATGGCTCAAAGGGGTCACATCAGAAGGACATATGAGCAAATCTGAAGGATCTGATTGGCCAAATATGGGTCATTTTGAGTAATTCATAATGACTACATTGAATTAAAAAAGGCTCATGGAATGGGAGACCATCTAGGAAGACCAGGTGCTGTAGGCATAATAAAAAATAATAAAAAAATAAATACAAAATAAAAAAGGCTCATGGGTGCATAGCGATATTCAAAATAAAAAGGGAGAAGGAAGGTTCTTTTTATAGACAACCAACAGTGTATCTGGACAAAATTTTAATTTTTACCATTTTGTAATTCCCAGTATAATTACTAATTTCAGCCAAGAATTATCAATAGGTGGGAAAACGAAAACCATGTGTGAAAGGTTGCTGAGGAAAAGGACTCTCACATGATCTCACATTACGATCCCATGGATTATTTTCTAATTGAAAAGGGAAATAAATCTTTGCAAATGAGTAACACTGATAATCACTGCCTTAACCAAAGGACATAGCACCACCAGGAGTAAGACCGACTGCTCCCAGGAGCCTTCCGATGTAATGCACTAGAACAGTAGTCAGCAAGTACAGCCCAGTCTAGTCCACCAACTATTTTTGTACAGCTCCTGCGCTAACACTGATTTTTACAGCGTTAGGAAAAAAATATCAAAGAAAGGACACTATTTCATGATGCATGAAAATTAAGAAAAATTCAAATTTCTGTACCCATACAGTTTCACTGGCACACAGCCACACTCATTCATTCATGTGTGCTCTCTGGCTGCCTTCTTGCTACAATGGTAGAGTTGAGGAGCCATGACAGAGACTGTATGGCCTGCAAAGCCTAAAAGAGTATCTAGCTCTTTACATAAAGTTTGCTGATCCCTACAAGAGAAAGTACACAACATCGCTTATGAAGCATTCTTGCCAAAAGTGTTTAACTTGAATCTAATCACAAGAAAAATAATCTGACAAATCCAGCAATGTGAGACATAGACAACTGGGCTGGATGCTTCAAAAAAAGTCCAAAGATACTAACCCTTATTCTTAGGAGATGCATGCAGAAGTATTTAGGCATTGAAGTGTTGCGACTTTTAAATGGTTCAGAAAAAATATAATAATGTGAGAGAAAGTGAGAAGGTAAACATAGCAAAGTATTTAACAATCAGTAAATCAAGATGAAGGGTATACAGATGTTCATCCTGCTATAGTATTTCAACTTTTCTGTGGGTTAAAATTTTCAAAATAAATTGTTGCAGGAAAATAGGTCCTTTATCTGTATAGTACTTTTCTTGAAAGAGTTCAAAACATTTCTGATTTTGATCTTATTACTTCACAAATATTTAATGATGAATGACTTAGATTCACAGCACCCCAAAATATACTAGAAATAGGCAACATCCCAATTCATAAATGGAGAAACAGAGGTCAAGGTTGAAGCTCACATACTAATGGAGTTAAGATCAAATTTTCAGTTTTTTTGCTGAACAGCTGTCATATATATATTTTTTTCTTTTTAAACACTAGAACATTTAAGGTATGGCTTTAAAATGGAACTTGCTTATGAATGTGGTGACATCATATATTTTCCACTTTCAAAGTAAAAAAAGAGATCCTCTAGACCCAGGGTCATTCTACAATATTTCTATTTACTTCCTGTCATTAACTGGCATAAAAAAAGGCTTAAGTTTGAACACCCCTGTTTCATAAAAAGATCCTCGATCACCTTAAGAGTTTGGTGCTACCTTTAAGTGTTTCAGAAGTTCTTTGCCTAGTTCACAGTCCAATTTGACGGCAAACACAATGTGCAGAATAACAGTGCCTTCCACATGACGAAGTTCACCTGATGGCACGGTAACAACTTCCAAGAGCCTAAAAGATTCAATAGAAAGGTGTGAGCAAGAGGCAATAGTGCAGATGTTCAGATGAACAAGCAGACCAACTCAGGTTGAACTCATATGATCGCTGGAGGAAAGCAGTAAGCAGATTCTACCGCCTCATTCTCTGCTTCATTTTACAATAAAACGTCCTGAAATAGTCATTATTTCTACTTCCTTACCTCGTCCCAGTTAAATCCAATTCAATTAGGCTCCGTCTCCTCCCTATCCTACCTTACCCCCTAGTGTCATCTATTATTGCAAGGGTTACAAACGACCTTTATGTTGCCAAAACCAATAATCAAGTCCCACATGAATGCCTCGGTAGACTTAACACAGATGATCACTTCTTTCTTGACATACTTTCTTCTCTTAGTTTCTGGGGCACTGTCCCTGGCCTCTTCTCTCTCTCTCTCTCTCTTTTTTTTTTTTTTTGGCTGGTTCATCCACCTTTTATATGGTGGGATGCCTCTGAGCTCAGTCTTGGGTTTCTTTCTCTTCTCTCCACACTTTCCCTAGGTGACCCCATCTGGACTCATGGCTTTAGTCCCTGCCAATCTGTATCTCCAGCCCTGACCTCTCCCTATAACTCCAGCCTGCCTGCTCAACACCTCTGGATGAGATGCTAATATACATCTCACACTTAACATGGCCAAAACTGAGCCTATTTTCCCCTAAACTTCCATTTCTGTCAGTCTTCTCTAAATATATGAGACCACCTTCTAATCAATTGCTCAAGCTAAATAACTAAGTTATTCCAGAGTAGAAGCAGTAAGTTGCAACAGGATTAATAGTGTGAATTCTGCTGCCAAACTGCCTGGATTCAAATCCCAGCGCTTCTACATTATGCAATTTAACCTTGGGAAACTCCCTAATTTCTCTGTGGTTTCATTTCTACAACCATAAAAGAGGCAAAATAACACTGGTGTGAGGTTTAAAGTACTTAGAATAGCACCTGGCACAGATAAGCACTATAAATATTTGCTTTAAAAAAATCTTCATTTTCAGACATGCCATGCTGTCTCTTGCCTTTGTACTCACTTAGAAGGCTCTTTTCCCTGATTTACATATTGTGGCTCTTGTCATTCAGACTTCAATTAAAATAGCACTTTCTCAGAGAGGTTTTCACTGATCATCCAATCTAAAGTAGCTATGCTGTCACTATCGCATCATCCATTTGAATTATCTGTATAGCACTTTCCACTCTAACATTTTTCTTTTTATTTATTTTCTGTTCTCTTCTCACTAAAATTGAAGTTCCATGAGAGCAGGGACTTTGTTTGACTGGTTCGTCACTGCAGACCCAGGGCTAAACAGTTTCTGGCACAGAGTAGACACGAAATAAATAGCTTTTAAACTTACAACTTACAGAACAATTATTGCTATTTTCCTGGAAAGGTGCAAATAAACGAGTTGAAGAGGTTACACTATTCTAACAACTTTATTACTGAGCATCTAAGAGAGAATTAGGGAAGTTCTGTGCTGAGGTGAAGGCAGGGACTGAATGGTTAGATAACAATGAAGTAACGAAAATATGCAATGAGAAGATTAATTTGTAAAACTGACTTTACTTCTATACTACATTACTCACTCGTTACCACTCTCTTCTTTGTTGTGCTGCTTGTCTAGCTCATTGAAGAAAGCTATGATTCCTTCCAAAATCTTCTTTCTGTTTCCCTGAAAAAAAAAACAAAAACAAAAACAAAAACAAACAAACATAAAATACGTGGTAAGGTCTCCCCACAAACAGCAAGACCAGCAAGTTGAACTTTTCAGCTTAAAGGCTTCTCAAGTATGAATTTAAAATAAATTACAACCTAGAGTCACAGTAAGAATTTATAGAACATTTTAATGTTATAATTGGGTTTGAAACACATCTTAGACTTTAAGGGGCCTATAGTTCACCTTTTCTGAGATCTTTATTCCTTTTACTGCCACACTCAAAACATAACGGTAGTTCAAGAGATATGTTTTCCTTGACTAAGGATCATGATCTTTTTACTAGACCAAATCATCATACATAAAATGAAAGCATCTATGCCCCAGTATGTAAACCAAGAATATGAATAAGCTGAATGGCCCTATCTGGTCATTCCACTAGAGTTAAAAAGAAACAACTTTTTATTTATACCTTTGAGGAGAGAACCAGAAGCTGATAGACCAAAGGTGGTACTTCTTGAAGATTCAACTTGGAGAACATCTTCAACACTTTTTCCATCACAAATCCCACCTCTTCTGCAGTCAGAGGGACATCCCTGTGGATCAAAGATTCTAAAGGCCAAAGCCAAATTACGCCAGGGCCTAATTTGGGAGATATCAGAATTATTACTGCCCCTATGCATTTTCTCAGAGAACCTTAAAGGGGACCAATAACCTTACCTAAGCAAGGTCATCTCGGAAAAAAAAAAAATCATAGAATTATACTTTAAGTAAGCTATTAAAGCAAAAAAGAGGGTTGGAAGGGAATCCTTTAACAAAAAACCAAGGTACCAATACTTTTACTAGGGGAGAGCAGTGTTTGAGCTTGCTACATTTCAATTTCTGGCAGGTAAGTTCATACAGCAAGACATAAGGAGAAAAGGGAAGCATGATACTTACTTGAACATGGAAGTGAGCTGAATGACATATTGCCGATCCCATCTGGTTAAAGAAAATAACAAAGGACATGTAAGTTTACCTCATTTTAACTTATTTACATATTACTTTATAAAATCAGTAAGGAAGAGAAAAAAAATAGGCCATTTTAAGTTTGATTAGGTACCATGGGGAAACAAGATCAAAGAAATGGCATTTGAAACAATGAAATAAACGCTTTTAACCTACTAGACTGGCAAAACCAAGGTCTGATGATATTCAGTGCTGGTGAGATTTTGGGAAAGAACACTCCACACACTGTTTTAGGGAGTGTGCTGATATAACCTTTCAAGATAAACTGTCATACTTATGAACTTTAAAAGTGCATATAACCATAGACCCACCCAACTTACTATTAGAAATATATCCCATGTACATGCTTATAAGAAATCACATAGGTATACATATATTTACTGCAACACTTTTTATAATAGCATAAACCAAATATTAATCAGGGAAAAAAATAATCTAATAATTGGAGATTAGCCAAATAATAGAATACTATGGAACTATTTAAAAAATGATGCAGTTATATTTGCTGTCATGAATAGATGTGTTAAATAAAAAATGAAAGGTATGCTACAATGTGTATCGAATAAACTCTTTTGTGTAATTAAAAACAAATGAATAAATAGATAAATGTATATGTGCTGATATAAACCCAAAATTATTTATGTAAGAGATGTTATATAAGGAACCATAATAACGGCCATCTCTGGTTTAGATAATCTTGGGTATTCCCTTCTGGTTATTTTTAATACACCCTAGTGTAATCAAAGTATAACTTACTAGTCTCTTTATTTTTCACTGACCATATATCATCTTCAACGTATGTCTTTATACTTTTCATTTTTAATGAGTATAAATTTCATGCAGTGGCTCTACCTTAACTTACATAGCCTACATCTCTCTATTATTGTATGCTTAATTTGAACACAAATTTGTGTTGAACATGTTCATGTATGAGAATTTTCTCTTACACTGACCTCTTCCCTTAGAGTAATTCCCACATTTTTGGTTTAAAGGTACAAGCTTCACTTATATATTCATTCCACTTCCTCCAAAAAATATAAAAGATATAGCATCAGGGGGTTTCCCAGCTTTAAGAACTGTGGGACTCCAAATAACGTTAGTGAACTAAAATTGCTATGTTAAGACTGACAGTCAAATAAATAAATTATATGTATATTCTTAGAACAAAAACTTTAGTAAATAATCTTTCTTATTCACAGACTAAATGGTTTTATTCAAGTGGCACATTATAAACAACAACAACAACAAAAACCCAGACTTCGGTGACATGAATTCTTGAAACAAATGGGAACTCTTTTGACACTTACAGTCCTCAGAAAATTTTACACATTAATGAGAAAGACTCACCTGCCAGAACAGAGAGTGTTAATCAACTGCTTCTTACTTTCTTCCCCACTAAGTTCATCTAAAAATGCAAAAACAACACTGAGAAATAAATTTGATTAAGTGAATAGAGAAAAAGCCACTGAAATTAGAAGAAAATTACCTTTTCCATAAGCCAGATTTTCCTTTTTGGTAACAAGGGCAGTGAGAATGATGGGTAATAACTCCAAAGATTTTCCATTCATTAGTCTGCCTTCTTTGATTGCATCAACAAACTCATTGGCTAATTCAACCAACAATGGTCCTGGAAAATTGTGGGCCTAAAAGTTCATGGAATAAAAAAAATATTAAGCAGAAATCTAAATGTTTGATATCTCTTTCCAAGAAACAGTCTTTTGCTGAGTTAAGAAAACTGACAACAAAACCCAGAACTGGTCCCATAAGAGATTCGGGAAATCATTCTGCTCTGGTACAAACTTATAATTGTAAAGAATTTCAAAGGTCAGAATGCTCCACCAGTTCCCTAATGTTTTCGAAGATTCTAGCTCTTCAAAGAGACACATGTTCATGATACCAGTAAGGTAATATAAACATCTAGGTCAGCAGTCCCCAACCTTTTTGGCTCCAGGGACCAGTGCTCCTACGAGAGTCTAATGTCTGATGATCTGAGGTGGAGCTGAGGCGGTGATGCTAGTGCTGGGGAGCGGCTGCAGATACAGATGAAGCTTCGCTCACTTGCCAACTGCTCACCTCCTGCTGTGTGCTTCGGTTTCTAACAGGCCATGGACTGTACAAGTCCATGGCTCAGGGGTTGGGGATCCTTGATCTAGGTGGTTTATGGCCCATCCATCAACTATTTTTCGTTTAGTAGTAGTTATTATGTAATTTAATAATTTAATAGAGAGATGTAGGCTATGTAAGTTAAGGTAGAGCCACTTGTTTTCCCTCTCTCAACAAATTACAACCCCTTCCAAAAATCTACCCAAAATCAAACAAGTTTTTGTTTTCCATCTCACCTCCAGCATTAGTAATCCTATGATCTCGGATGCAACTTCATTCTGCAAATCCCCTGACTCCACCAACTGGATACAACAAGTGTATATCTTAAGTCTCCTAAGAGCTCCAGCTTCCTCAGAGCAGGGGGAACCTTATTGTTTTACAAAGGCGTACAGAAACAAAAAAAGAAGGATAAAGTCTTCAAACAAGGTTGACGGACAAATAAATAGGAAAAACATACAGCTTTATAGTTTAACATAGAAACAGAATGATCAAACTACTGATTACTATAGCATTTAGAGCGGAAATATTTAGGAGTTTTGAAAAAGTATTTAGGCAGTTGACTGAAAATGTCATTGTCTACCTATGTTATTAGTTTTTAAAATAATTTAAAAATTACCGGACCCTTTTTTGGGTCCAGTAATCCAAATTAAATGTCTTTAACATATTTCAGAATGTTAACACTGGGTGATGTCAG